TAGTACCTATTATGTGTAAAACACTGCTTGGTACAGGGGAGGATTTAAAAAACAGACAAACAGAACAGAAAACAAGGCCTCTGTCCTTGTATCTGTGTGGGAAAGAAAGCATAATCATGTAAAATATTAAATAGTATCCCCGGAGGAGACCTCAGCAATATTCCGGTTCCCTGCCTGGATCCCTACAATAATATATTTTAAATGACAGTATAAAACAATGGCACATACAATATATGAAGTAATAGTAATAACTAATATTTTTCAGAACAATTCTTTGTACTGGGACCTTTGTTAAGTGCTTTGAATTATCTCATTTAAAAACTCAATACAATCCTATGAGATAGATACTTTTATTATGGACATTTTACATGAGGAAAGGGAGACTATTTCTGGGAGATCCCCGGTCTAGTAAGGATTCACACCAGGCAGTCTGACCCAGAATCACTATTCTAAGAGCTAAAAAGTGGTTTCAGTTCAGCACAGGGTTGGTTTGGGAATGCATGCAGGATCTTGGCACAGAAGCTCAAGAAACAGCCCTGTAAAGAAATTAAGAGAAAACTCACTACAGTTAGATTCTTTTATGAATGTTATCTGACAAGGCTATAGCTTCTCACTGCCTCTCCCTGCTCTCAGACCAATGGGCTTTTGTGAGACAGCCATCCACCAGCTAACATTCCATCACTGTCCTCAGCTTTCCCAGTACTCCAAACCAATGCAGAATCAAAATTCTAAATAGCAACAACATCCAAAGGCAATACCCTACTACCTCCACCATCACCGCCACCACCATTACTGCCATATTGGGGGAATATATTTTATAGGCTGTGAATCAGGAAGGACATGGAAAGTCATTCCTTTGTCGAAAACTCTTTCTAAGCAACCTGAAGAGAAAGCTCCTTTAAATGATAGGAGTGGGAGGCTGTGCATGCCACTACAGTCCTTGGGTAATGACTGTGTGTCATAAATAGGATATGGCATTTCAGAATGTCTTTAAAGCTATTTCCTTTTGTTCAACTAATTTAATTTACCAAATGCTCCTGGTAAAGGGAGGGGGACCAAGATGCTGACTCCACATTTCCTGAAAAATCAACATTTTCCTTTTAAACTGCTCTCAAAGAAATTGCATTTGATTGTTGTCTGCTGGCTCCCTCAAACTCTACCTCTGTCAAAATTCTGCCCCAGCAGGTGTGAGAAAGAATAGATGCAGAACTTGAGTGAATATCCACATCTGTTTTTGGAAAAAGAGAACAGAAGCAGCACAGAAGGAAGTAAAAGAGATAATTGCTGGCTTGAACTACAATACATTTTACTTGTGGGCAGAGGGCCAGCTTACAGCAGGCGGAATATGCAGGCCCATCTTATTGGAATTCAGGGGTGGGCCTCCATTCTTGTCCGGAGACAGCTGTAAACCAGCAGCCCATAGCATCACAATCAGGCACTGAGTTTTGTCAAGGAATGCTGATACATACAGAAGCAGCTTTGTCTGCCTCAACTGCACCCCTGCCTGGTGAAATGACAGTCAATCTCTGATTCCAGATGACAAGAACTGGATAAAAACTTAAAACAAATGGCGACCTTTCAAAAGATTAATTTGTTTACCAACAAAATGTTCCCTCTTTGTCATCCGAGATGGGGGTGACCTTCACTTTCCCATATCTAGCCTGAAAGGATGCTGACTATAGTCATCTGTTAAGTTAACTCCATCTCAGCAATTATTCCCTTTTTTTATTTTTAGTGACAAGAAGGGTTTATTAATTCACTCTGCTTCTTGTTATGGTTTATAAATGCAACAAGCTCATTCTGAATTACTGCAGTGTAACATCAATTTGTTTAAATCTAATTCTGCTACTGTTGCCAAATTATGTTGTGACTGTAATTGTGGCCATATGCATGGGCTTAAAACACAATCATGTTTTGAAACTGCCCTTCTTTCTCCACTCCCACCCCCCGCCCCCACCCCTTACTTCTGGTGCTTCTTCTAATCATTTGACATTAACACAATTGCCTCACTTTCTATTACTTTATCATTTCAGAAATGAATATGCTTTCAGTGAGAGAGAGATTACTATGTACACCCCAAGTGAAACAGTAAAGAAGGAAACTATGATTTGTGAAGTGTGGTTGCTACCCAACTAAGTTAGTGGAAAACACTGCATAACATATGACTCATAAAATCTAGAAATCATAATAGTATTAAATTCAACCTCATGAATTAATAAAAGATTCTAAGTTTACATTGCATTATATATTTATTTATTTGGAAAGTGGGACCAAAGAACTGATATAATTCTACAACAACTCATATCTTGCCAAAAAGAAAAATGTTTTTATGATTCTTTTCTAGGTCATAACAGTTATAATCAGAGTTATTTGTGCAGCAATTCAAAGCAATGTTTTGTTTGGCTATTTTGTTATGCATTCATAATCGTTCTTTTAAAATTCATGCTAACAGATACATGTTTCAAGCCTTTTAAGAAACTCTTTTTATTTAAAAAAAAATAAATCAAAGTCAAATTTTCTGTAGATCTCTTAGTGTGTTGTATTATAAAGTCTAACTGGAACTAGATGTCAGTGAGGGAATGTGAACAGTACCAGGGATTTCTTCTTGTTTCCACATACCTGTGAGGACCTACTAGAAAAAATGTTGAAAGGTTGTTTGTTACTATTTGGCAGATTGAAGATACTGAAAAATCACCAGTGAGTCTCACTTTTAATACTTTTTTGGGAAATTGGTTTTACATAACAGAGTCATAGAATATAAAATTCTGAAGACAGTTTTGCAATACTAGTATTTGTGTGTGTGGCAGGGGTTACATGTTTTCAATGCACTAAAATCCTTCCATCAGCTCCTTATTATCAGGAAGAATACACCATTTCATAAGATGGAGAAGATACCAGCTTTTAGGAACTAATAATGCAAATTGGCTACAAATTCACATTTGCTCTGTCAAAAATGTCTAAAGTTGTTTACAGGCTTCTGATAGGCTGGTCAAGTTTCAGAAGAAGTAAGGAAACATGCCCTCGGCAGCCAAATAATAATCCCCTTTGAGTGTTTAGAGTAGTTCTAAAACGATTAGCTTTGATGCCACTTTTCTAATTAACTATACATCACAATGCTAGACACACTGCTCTAGTTTCTGTAAGTGCTTTTGATACCATTTTTGTAAGTGGTAAATCACAATTGCACTTATCCCCAAATGCTTTATAGGACTGTTTAAAACCAAATACCTAAATACTTCTCTCATAGGACTTTTTGCACAATGCTTCTGTTTTTTAAATCCAAAATGAAAATACTGTTTTCAGTTAGTATCACCATACAACTATATCAACATAAAATGATAGGGTCAACTATTTGATCAAAAGGCCAACTGTTTGAATAAAATATACATAATGTACATCCAATTTTAAATTGCTCTGGTATAGATTTTTATGGTATCTAGTTTTATGAAAAAAGGAGATTTAATACAGTAAATGGATATCTACTAGCTATATGTCATAAAAGGAAAAGTGCTTTCCCAAATTCTCTTTGCTAAAGTATATAGATACAATTTCCAAGGCACTCATTCTATTTGGTAATTGGAAAAAATATAATTAATGACTAAGAATCTGCCCCAAGTTTTAGATATAATTTTGAAATCTCTATTTATTTAAGTCTGAATCTTCATTCAGATTCATAAAGCAAAGCATAATCCTTTTTCAATCCAGAGGTATGCCTTTTAAAACTCCAGTACTCATCAGAAAAAGTTCACAGGAAACACAGCAGTTGCCTCGGGCTACAAAGCCTCGGTACTCCTCCAGCTAAGCCAATATTAATTCTAGATTGAAGAGGAAAACCAACAACAACAAAAGAGAAATCTGCTTCTCTCTGTGATGCCAGAGAAACAATATTTTTATTTCGAGGGCTTTGGGCTCATGGGAAGCAGATAAAAACCCTTTCCCATTATTCACAGTGACATTTTAAATAAAGTTTCAGCAAGAATAAAAATATCTAACTTTCTGGTTATTTCTTAGGCTATAAAAGTATTTGTAAGATAAAGTGCTCTTAAACCAAACCTGTTAGAATAACATAAAGCACAAATAAAGAAACTGAAAATATATTTCAGGGTTACATAAATGAAGCAGGCAGTTGAAAATGTCTATGTAGGAAATTTGGACGATTAATCTAAGAGACTATTATGCTAGTTAGAAATGGCTTTGCAATTTAATCCTAACTTAATCTTGTTTTTAGTTTTGATTTCACCAAGGCATATATTGAAGAGCTTTTGAGAGAAGCCAAAGGTTAAAAATGTATTTACAATATATAGCTGTTACCTCAGTAATTGTTTTCAGTGTTAGAAATGATCTCGAATTAAATAATTTCCCAGTTAAAATGAAGCACTACTCTTAATTTTCCTAAGAAAACTCCACAACACAGAAAGAGTATAATCTTTGCTTTAGGACAAGTTAGCAGCTAGCTAGTCAATGGCAAAAACAGGCAGAGACTCTGAGATCCTTACTGCAAATCTACAGTTGATCATTTTTCCCTCTCATTATTTTGCTGACATAAAGGATTAGTTCCTGCTTGCCTCAGATTTAGAATAATATTCTCAAATATTTGCACATTATCAGAGTATGCACAATTGAAGAGGATTCTGTGTTGTTGTTTTCTTTTGATTCTTCTAGTGGTAAGCCTACTATCAAAGAAATAAAATATTTAAAATTTCTCTATTAATTGTTTTTGCTGGTAAATTACTTCCTTGTTAAAATTATGGTACTAGATTATTTAGGAATATCAAATAAAATAGAGAAATCTGAGCTACAAATAAGTGTTTAAAAATAGGCTTACATCTTCTTAATCATTGCTAATTATAAACAGAATGAGAACCATCTCCATCTCAAAAAAATTCCAAAGACAAAAGGATCACAATCTTTCTTAACATCTATATTACATCTTACCCTACTAATAAATGACTTTTATTTCTTTAAAAAATAAGAGCTCATTAAAACAACTCATTACTTACACATGCTTTTCTCTGATTAATATATGGCAAATTGATTCCATAGTTCGCATTTACAGCAGCTCTGTGGCGGATGTTTTCAGGATCCTGCATGATTTTTACATTCAACCCTATCTTTCGCTGAAACAAAGAAACAATGAAACTTTCATGCTGGATGAACAAAAATGCTTTCTAACATTTTATATCCTCAAAGGAGTTTAAAGTTCTTTGGAAGCAATTATTTTAATGAAATTCTCACTGGAAAAAAATATATTTGGATCTTTTATTTTGGCTGCTTTTAATTCACAGAAAAGGAACTTTCTGTAGATTTTCCTCTGTGTATCCCATTGCTCCCACAAATACATCCTAAGACACATTTTCTCAAAAATAATGCTGGAAACCAACCAAGGTGGGCAAAGGACTAGAGAGAATGCCTGGTCTTAATTTATTTTTAGCTTTCCAGGTCAGGGATTTGTCAATGAAATCTATACTACAAATACACAGGTAGAGGGCTCCCTCGGTCTGTTAATGTGGCCACTTTCCTCTAGGGATGTTTACAGGTAAATCTCAGTTTGGGCCTGGTAAATTTACCACAACAAATTTATCCACTCCTTCACAGAGATTCTCTTATCTGTAAGAATAATTTATTCTTTCATTAGAAAAAATAAATCTCTTGTTTGAACCACTTATTTCTCATTTTAAATGATTCAAATTAGTTATTGTTGAGATGCTTAAAAATAAACCATGAGAGTGGGCCACATAGTGGTGGTGGGAAGGGGCCCTAGATAGTTGTCAGGACACCTAGTTGCCAGCTCTCCTCTTGACTGCTATGCGTGACCTTGGGTAAGTCACTTCACCTCTAAGGAAGTCAGTTTCTTTTTCTGCAAAATGCATGTTAGACCTGATAGTCCCTTGAGGAACCACTCCTGAGCTTTGGGATTCTATGATTTGAGGCTAAAAGATAATTTGATACATAGGGACTACGGTATTACTAATAATTTCTAAAGTCTTTTGTGATTAATAAAATTGTCAACAGATCGAGACCATCCTGGTCAACATGGTGAAACCCCATCTCTACTAAAAATACAAAAAAAAAAAAAATTAGCTGGGCCTGTAATCTCAGCTACTCAGGAGGCTGAGGCAGGAGAATTGCCTGAACCCAGGAGGCGGAGGTTGTGGTGAGCTGAGATCGCGCCATTGCACTCCAGCCTGGGTAACAAGAGCGAAACTCCGTCTCAAAAATAAATAAATAAATGAAAATAAAATAAAATTGTAATATAATTCATATACCATAAAATTCGCCCATTTAAAGTGAACAACTCAGTGGTTTTCAGTATACTCACAACCGTCACCGTTATTTAATTCCAGAACACTTGCATCACCCCAAAATGAGACCTCATACCCATTAGCAATTGCTCCCTATTCCCACTTCCCACTAGTTCCAGGCAACCAGTAATCTACTTTCTGTCTCTGCTGATGTATCTATTCTGGACATTTCATAGAAATGGAATCAAAATATGTAGCCTTTGTAACTTTCTAAAAGGGAGGTTAGAAGTATTGTGAGCAACTTAACTGTTTTCCTTTCAATTCAGTGTCTTAGTTTTGAGGATTATCTGATGCAGTTGTTAAAATGGTTGCAGGAATTGGACAGCTTTGTTCATCATCCAGCTGTTTCTTTGACATACGCATTCATAAAGGGTCTGTGCCTAAGGTCTAAGTGAAGAAGGAGGCTACAAAAATATCTACAGAATGTACGGTAGATAAGCATAGATACATCTAGCTAAGGTATTTCTTAACACATGTTCCAAATCTTCCTTTTACTTTTTAATAGCATTTTTTAAACCAACTCTCCAAATAACTGCCCTCAACTGTCCACTTTATTTGATCTGGGCAGGAACACAGGATGCAAACAAGGCATGTCTGTTTCCTTCTCCTTGAGGTACACGTGGTGACAAAAGTAATGTAGTACCTAATTATAAATGGCTTTTCTTCTGTGGGTAACACTCACAGCACTACTCCAGGGTTTTCACATGGAAGCAAATTACCTCTTCTATTGAAATTAATATCTGAACATAATTTTTTCCTTCTTAATTATACTTTGAGAATAATTTCTATTCTACCAAGGATTACAAAATTTCTAATATGTATTATATTGATTGGATGTGGGTTTCTGTAATTAGGGTGTTTTAAAAATGTATATATTTTAGATACAGAATTGATGGTAATAGCTTCATCTATCATGTCCAAGTTTTGTTAGAACTTTTTAATTATGGGATTATTGGCTCAGTGGGCCATAGCAGTTTTCTTATGCTCCATCAAGTTTGTGTGGTTATAGAGAGGAAATGGCCAAATACAGAATCACTGCTAAAACTGGCCTTAAAGTCCTGTAGTGTTTTGCCTATTGTTAAATTCTGTGGCACTAGACATAGATATTTTTGAAAAGAAATCAGTATGTAAATAGAAATCCGATGAAAATTATAGTTATATCAATTCTTTATGGTTGGCTTCTAAAGCAATGATTTGAAATTAAAAGATAATTTAAAAATATTAACATTCTCATATTTATTATTTTGGTACCACTGAATGTGGATTCCAAAATAATAATATGTAGCATACACGATTTAACTGCTCCTTCCAAAAACACTTAAAAGGCATCTATGTTTAAGGGATATTAACATAACCATACAGGCATGGTGGCTCACTTCTGTAATTTCAGCACTTTGGGAGGCTAAGGTGGGCGGATCATTTGAGGCCAGGAGTTTGAGATCACCCTGGCCAACATGGTGAAACCCCATCTCTACTAAAAGTACAAAAATCAGCTGGGCATGGCGGTACATGCCTGTAGTCCCAGCTACTCAACAGGCTGAGGCATGAGAATTCCTTGAACCCAGGAAGCAGAGTTGCAGTGAGCTGAGATCGTGATAACTGCCCTCTAGCCTGGGTGACAGAGTGAGACTTGGTTTCAAAAAAAAAAAAAAATTAACATAGCAAATGTTTCACTGAAACTCACTACCAAACACATTCAAAGCCTAAATTTATCTTACAAACCATTTATAGTGATGTATGGGAAAATACTTATAAGCACATGCTGCATTATGATACCCAGCAATAAGATTTTCAAGAAAATCAATTATAGATCAAAAACAAAAATAAAATTAATCATTCCATTAAGCAGGAAAGTATGCTCAGAAAGATAAACATTTTTTTTAACCAACAGTGACATAAATATCAGAAATAATTTCAGAAATTTTTAGTAAATTGGTCAAGAAAAGATAGCAATTTATATAATCTATCTTGAGTCCCTAAACAATTTAAACTTTGTATTCTCTCCTTTTGATAGTAATTACAAGCAGATATATCAAATGTGACTCTCATTTAGACTTTGGTTTGTAAGAACAGAAGTTATTATCAGAGCCAATTACTGTTTTACCTACATGGCTGCACAGAAGCGGGGAGCTCAATTTTCATCTCATCAGTGATTTTGTGGTATTTATTTTATTACTATGCCCACAAAGCTATATAAGAAGGAAATAGCTTATGCTATTAAAACTAGGGTTGGAATATAGGAGGTTAAGATTTCTTTTAGAAGAACTTCTGAATTAAAAACACTAGGCAGCGTGAAATGCCAGCTCCCCAGACATGGGTAGACCATAAAATGACACACATCTGAGCAGTAGATCCCACACAGAGTAATCAAAATTGAAATGCTTCACAAACAAAGTTGAGAGAGGCTATTTACTAAGTTACAGTATTATCAACAGTGTTTGCTACAAGTAATGTCTTCTAAAGTGGAGATTGCTTAATATCATATTCCCACTGGTTAAAGACAGCTGCTGTTTAGTCTCAAAACCAGAGAAAAGAAAAACAGAAAAAGAATTTAGTCAACTTTAACACTCATTCTCTCAACCATTGTCTTATGTAATAGGAAGAACAATAGACGTCAAGTCCTGATTTGAGCTGTATGACCTAGATTTCTCATTTGTAAAACTGGGTAATAATACTTAGCTTCATAGGGTTATTTGTAAAGTTCAAATGACTAATGCATGGTGTCTTACAAATTATAAAGTACTATTCTGGAGCCAATGTGAAAGGGCCCCAACATATGATTATAATGGACTGAAACACTTCAAATATATAAAAATCCATGAATTTTCTTTTAATTGTATTTGGGCTCTGGGGTACATGTGCACGTCCTGCATCCTGCAGGATTGTTGCATAGGCACATACATGCCATGGTGGTTTGCTGTCTCCATACCCCCCACACACCTGTCACCTACATCAGGCATTTCTCCCAGTGTTATCCCTCCCCGTCCTTCCCACCCCCCCACTGCTGTCCCTCCCCTGTCCCCCCAACCTAACCCTGTGAGTGTTGTTCCCTTCCCTGTGCCCAAGTGTTCTCATTGTTCCTCACCTGCCTATGAGTGAAAACATGTCATGTTTGGTTTTCTGAGAATGATGGTTTCTAGGTTCATCCATGTCTCTACAAAGGACACGAACTCAACATTTTTATGGCTGCATAGTATTCCATGGCGTATATGTACCACATTTTTTTTGTCCAGTCTATCATCGATGGGCATTTGGGTTAGTTCCAGGTCTTTGCTATCGTAAACAGCGCCGCAATGTGCATACGTATGCATGCGTCTTTATGATAGAACGATTTATAATCCTTTGGGAATACACCCAGTAATGGGATTACTGGGTCAAATGGAATTTCTATTTCTAGATCCTTGAGGAATCACCACACTGTCTTCCACAATGGCTGAACTAATTTACACTCCCACCAACAGTGTAAAAGTGTTCCTATTTCTCCACATTGTCTCCAGCATCTATGGTCTCTAGATTTTTTAATGATCGCCATTCTAACTGGCATGAGATGGTATCTCAATGTGGTTTCGATTTGCATTTCTCTAATGACCAATGATGATGAGCATTTTTTCATACATTTTTTGGCTGCATATTTGTCTTCTTTTGAAAAGTGTCTATTCATATCCTTTGCCCACTTTTGAACGGGGTTATTTTTTTCTTGTAAATCTGCTTTAGTTCTTTGTAGATTCTGGATATTAGCCCTTTGCCTGATGGGTATATTGCGAAAAGTTTTTCCCATTCTCTTGGTTGCTGGTTTAATCTAATGATTGTTTCTT